AAAGCTAACTATTTGATAATGTCGACAGATGTTTGTTATAAAATATGAGATAAACGGAAAAAGCAAAACAACCAACCGTGTTTTTATTATTTTTACAGTAAATTATTCATGTTGAGTCATATTTGACATATTATTAACTTTCTTTTCTTTTCTTCTGCACTTATCGTCTGTTTTGAGGGGAAAAACCCAATGAATGTTGTTGTCGTTGTGGTTTTTTTCTCTTCTTCTTCTGCTTATCTTAATATCAATCGTATATTTATGGTTATTCAAAAAATGATTTCTTTTCTTCGATCTCTTACTGTCTGCTATCGAGTGAGTAATAAAAGAATACCCATCTGTTAGTACTTTCCATCATAATATTATTGATTGTGAAATATGGATAATTTACTTCCATGCTGTTCTATTTTCTTTCACTTTCCTTTTTTTTTCTCTTACAAGAAAAATAAAAACAACTAGGACCTGGTATTTTTGCCAGTACAAATATTTGATGTGACGTACATCATTATCTTTTTCTTGTTCTTGTATATATAGAAAAGAAAATATTTACGACCATCGTTCCATTACAACATAGAAAAAAACAACCGTCTTGTATCGTCATTGAAGGTCCAAAAGCAAGTTTAGATTTTTAGTAATTTATTGATTTTTATCGTTTTTCTTTTAAAAGATTCTAAGTTTATACGGGGTAAATTATGGTTTCATTCAAGCTCATCTCTCGTCTCCTTTGTTAGTAGTAGTAGCGCGGGTGTCTGGGCTTTATTTTCGTCAACCAATTGTTCTAATGACAAAACTAATTTCATTTAGTTGAAGTAAACTGAAATTGATAACGAAATTTTTAAATAAATGTGACAGTAATTATTTTATTATAAAACTATTATTTTTATTTTAGAAATATTTAAGAACAAAAGAAATGGCGGTTTCAAATACACAAGATTTGATTGTCGATGAAGCAGAGTTGAGTCATCCAATAACCATCACACGTGGTAAAATATCTCGTACGTATCTAGTCATTGCATATCCATCACAAATAACAAGAAATATAACAAATAGTCATGCTGATGGAACAACAACACCAGATCCAAAAGCAGTCAAAAGATGTCGATGGTATACTACTGGTATAATTCGATTTCATGTCAATCCTGAAACTGGTTTCATCTACGAAGCACGGCCGAATTTACATGAACTTGAAATAACACTTGAATGTATATTAGACAAATCCCACAAACAACAATTGGCTAATCATGGTGAAGAACGTTATGGATTAAAATTAACAGTTGACAATTTTGTCATTTGTCCATTTCAAACATTTCTTGCACAGTTGACAATTGACATTGATGGTATTGTAAAAACGTTTTATGGAACACTTATGAATAACAAAGAATTGCATCCAATGCGAATCATTTTTAATATCGAAGATTCAGATGAATTGTCAAAAATCACTTCAAAACTCGCTCGTCCCCATGATAATCATATTATATTGAGCTATGATTATAGTCTAAGAGGAACTTCAACAGCTCATGCTTCGTTGGATGTTACTGCTGAAGAGGTGAGTCAAATCAATTTGGAAAAACAAATATTTGGCACAAGCAAAGCCGGAAGTATGATGGTAAGTCGATCATTTATGGATAAAGTTTCGGCTGGAATTTCAAGCAAATTGAGTGTTGTTGAGAAAATCGGAGTTGGTGCATCATCATGCGGACACGATTTAATTAAACAAGAAATTATTAATGCCATTTCGGATGGTGGCTTTAAAAAGCTCAGTATCGATGATATAAAACAATTGGAAAGCAACGATATGGGAGTTACCGATGATTTAAAAGCAAATATGATTAATTCAGTGTCTGGAAGCCAGGCAAATAGCTCAACATCATATCAACATAGTTTAGACAAGTCTTCGTCGGCTAATTCGTCAAACATTTTGCATGCTAACAGTGGAGCTAGTAATCAATCGGGAAGTCAATCATCGAACTCATCACTAAGCCATGGAGGGAATGTAGATGTTGGTTTTAAACTGTTTAGCGGCAAGGGCGGTTACAACTACGACAATAAAAATGCATCTGAATCAGCCTACGACAATTCAAACAGTTATGATAATAAAGATCATGCACATAAAACTAACAAAATGTCGCAGTTGAACGAAAATTCCGGTAGCAATTCAAACTCAAATATGGCAAGGGGGGAAATCCACGGTCAAATAAGACAAGTGAAAAACATTGATGTGGCAATCGTTCATCGACTGAACGTTGCTAAAGGTTTCAAAATTTCATTGGTTCGATGGCATCATCAACTGTCAACAGCATGTGTAAAAGGTCGAATAACAACAAAAGACGATACGGAAACATTGGACGAAATTCAAGCAAGGCAAAAAACAGAAGGACAAGCAAATGTTAATCGTCAAGAATACGGTAGGACATCAAAAATAGTTTTTGGTTTAATGCATTTTAAAGTGCTGGAAATACAGAAAGGAAATGAGTCTCGCTATTCTACTCAAAACCGCAACCCGGCATTCGCTTTTGGTTGTTGAGTTTTGCAGAACCGAAACAGAGAAGAAAACAAATATTTGTGTTTGTTAGTAAGAAAATTTATCACGAAATTATATGTACAAGATATTTTCCAATCGTACTTCGCTTCTTCAGCAGCAAAGACTCGAATGTCGTAGCAGCGATAGCAATGGATACCACAAAAACGAGCTTTCTTTATAGTTAAAAATAGTCTATCAGTGTCTAAGGTTAAAGAAGAATAAAAAAATTCAGTTTCTCATTCTATTTTTGAGTTCAAGATGAAAAAATTTCTGCGAACAATAGGAAAAGTCTAGAGCTATGTAATGAGAAAAACAATTCAGTCGTTGAAATCGTTTAATTACTGAGTTATACGGCTTTTAACGATGCATTAATTTTGTCTAGCGATGCACCAGTATCAGTATACTGAATACTGACTAATACTGACGAAATATTTATCAGTATTCGTCAGTATTTGTCGGTATTTATTAGTATTGGTCAATAACATTATCGAATGCCCTGAATACCGACAAATACTGACAAATACTGTTCAGTATTGGTCAATATTCAGTATAATCAGTAGTCAGTATTCCAGTATTCAGTATTGATCAGTATCACTATTGTCGTGTCAGTTTTTCAGGATAATACTGATACTGGTGCATCCCTAATTTTATTTAGGAGAAAATGTAGAATAATATATCCTATTATATATTAGACAAAATGTCAATAAAAACGGCGTGAGTAATTTGGGGATATTTCTTTATCAAAAATAGATTTTTTCGAGGAAACAAGATAAAATAAAAATGAGAAGAGATAAAGCATTAAAAGCATGTAGGAGAACAAACGAAATGAACTTGGGCTCACTTCTTCTTCTCCGGTTCCAAAGCTCAAAAGTCTTTTATTATGAAAGTTTCACATTCGAACACTCATTTCTTTCGTCCATATAAAACAGAAAAAAAATCCGTTTCCGATCCGTTTCTTTTCCTTCAAACATTATTCGAAAAAAATAAGTAATAGCTGGTTTAAATTCATTGTTTTTTTTTCAGTGCCAACAACAACACATAAACCAGAAATTAAAAAATCAACAACTTTGAATGTTTCTGAAGAAATATGGGAATTAGCAGGACAATTATCATCGAATAAAACACCATCTGAACTTAATTTATCCTCAAAAAAATTATCGGATAATGAAATTGAAGTAATTTGTGATAAATTGAAAACAAATCAAAGTTTAAAGGAACTTGATTTGTCTTATAATATTAGCGATACAAGTGCTCTACTATTATCTAATGCATTAAAAACAAATCGAAATTTAGTTAGACTTAATTTATCTTTTAATCAAATTAGTGATGAAGGTGTACGATCGTTAAGCGATGCATTAAAACAAAATCATTGTTTAACTATACTAAATTTGTCTTCAAATCAAATTGGTGATGATGGTGTTCAATTATTATCGAATGCATTAAAAGAAAATCATAGTTTAATGGAACTTAATTTGTCTTCTAACAGAATTACTGATGCAGGTGCTCGATCATTAAGTAATGCATTAAAAGTCAATCGAAATTTGACTATACTACATTTGTCTACTAACATAATTGGTGATGATGGTGCTCTGTCATTAAGTGATGCATTGAAACAAAATCAAAGTTTAATTAAATTTTATTTGTCTTTTAATCAAATTGGTGATGCAGGTGGTAGATCATTAAGTGATGCATTAAAAGCAAATCGACATTTAACAGAAATTGATTTGAGTTGGAACAAAATTAGTGACACGATAGAACAAAACATACAATCGCAATCAAACAATAATTGCAAGATTATTTTCTAAATTTGATTTATTTATTTTGTTTCGTTATATGTATTTCTGACAATTATCAAATAACTTTTATAGTCAAGAATTGTTAGATTTTCCTTTCATATCATAGAAACTTATTAAATTCTATAATTAGGATTGTCAGATAATCTGAAATGACAGGACAAAATTTTGGTTTTTAACTTTTCGACCTGGTATAACCCTTAAGCTACAACATATACATTTTTTTCTTTAAAAGTTTTTTTTTAATTGCTTCGATGTCTATGCAGTTCACTCATACATATATTTTGAAATAGATCAGCTATACTTTTTGACGCAAAAACTTCTTAATAATAAAATATACTATTAGGAAAGCTAAAATTTTAGCTAAATCTAATGAAAAACCAAACCAGAATCGTGTTGACGATGTTCTCCGAAACACAATTGATCAATACGATATTTTACACACGTTACCTTTCGCGGATTATATTTTGGCCCTCTCTGTTCCTGATCAATTACTCGCCCGCGTACTCAGCACTGGTATTTCAATCAAAGGGGACGGAATGTTTCTTTCCTACACTGGGGTACGAACATCTGATCAGGGAAAAACATGGCTAGTAAATGGGGTGGACATCTCAATAAGTAATCCTAATTACAATGTGGCTACGACAGAATATGCCAGAGCAAATACAGAATTCAACAATGCAAACGTGCCTATTTTACAACAGGTCAACGTAACACAAACACAAAGTTTAATCAATTATTTAAATACAAAATATGCACCCTGCTAACAAAAATCGAGAAAGGAGAAGAGGGGAGAATAAGATCATTCTTGCGCCTCTAAGAAAATTGGAATTGTTTCTATCAGATTCAAATGAAGCTTCATTTGTTTCCACCGAAACTCATACTGCAAAATCTCGAAAACCTTCCGACAAACGAGGCTTGTGAATTGTCTATTAGGCAGAAAAACTCTTGAAAACTATGATGAATGAAAGTGTAAACTTTTTTTGACTTAGCTGACGTTTCGCTTTCTATCTTGATGAACAGACCGACTTTTCGCACTTCTTTTCTCACCTCATCACGCTCCTTAGCTCGTCCAGCTTGACAGCACTCGCCAATAGCTGTAGCAAAAGTATCTGGCCCGATGAATAAGCTGCTACCTGACATGCACGGAAAAGCACATCGAAATCGTGTCGCATTTCGAACGGGATGCTCTAGTGTTTAGACGTATCGCTTTAACAAGACATTAATCAGAGGCAGTGCCAAACGATGGATAATACCGGGCAATGCTCCTTTCTACAACAAGGGAAGAGGAAGAAGTATTATGTCCTCGGATTTCTTGGTCATGCATCCGAGCGGTCCCTTCCTCACCCTATCCGACAAGGAATATGAAAAGGCATGCCTGAAATATCCATCACTCAAGGCCGAACCCGATATCAAGTACGAGGGAAATAGTCCCTCCGGAACGATCAATGTCGGCGGCGACAATTACTTCGATAACGGGCACATACTGGAACAATTTGAACAACTGTTCCAGCTTCTTCAAGTAAGCAAATAACCTTCAACTTAATAATAAAAAAAAATGATATTTTTCTTATTTTAATTTACAATTCAAAAAAGACTTCAAAGTTCATTCGTTCGTCTACCTACAACTATGCGTCAACGAATTCGGCATGAAACCAGGCACGCGGTGTCCAGTAGACCAGATCGAGTACGTCGACGAGCACAATCAACAGCGGATAATCCAGTGCTTCGATCATAATAGGCAAAGCAAAGGACTTCTGGCCATTGCTTCCGAATCGGGTGTTTATTTTCATATCTCAACTTTACTTTTTCTCAAGTAAACCAGCATGAACAGCACATAATCGTCATCAAACACTTCTTTGAGTGACAAAAAGAAGAAAAATCCTCCGAACATCCTCTCAAGATCTTATAAAATCTGAAAATGATTGCATCGGATTCAGCATGCTGTTTTACCTATAGGTATCTAGTTTTAACACAATTTGAAACAAAAAATGCCTTTGTAATTAAATATTTTCTTCTTCAAGTGACAAACACTCTCTTTTTTCATTTCCAGAGGGTAGTTGTTCTTAATGGCGTTTCTCAGCGACGAGCAGGAACTTAGAGAAAGTAATACATAGTTTTGTAGCCCTCGAAAAGGCGATTCGAATGAGATATGAACAAAGGTTATGATTATTGATGTCACCGACTTGATGTTCTTGGAAGCCAAGGTCGCCCTGTTGAGTGGTGAAACTGTGAAAGTCATACTATGATACTATGATACTGTGAAACTATGAAACTGTGTTGCGTTGGTATTGGTGTGATATGTGGATACTGTGAATTCATGGTTATACTATTGAGCTTCACTGTATGAATTGACAGACCTCCAAGTAAACCAGCATGAACAGCACATAATCGTCATCAAATACTCCTTTGAGTGACAAAAAGAAGAAAAATCCTCCGAACATCCTCTCAAGATCTTATAAAATCTGAAAATGATTGCATCGGATTCAGCATGCTGTTTTACCTATAGGTATCTAGTTTTAACACAATTTGAAACAAAAAATGCCTTTGTAATTAAATATTTTCTTCTTCAAGTGACAAACACTCTCTTTTTTCATTTCCAGAGGGTAGTTGTTCTTAATGGCGTTTCTCAGCGACGAGCAGGAACTTAGAGAAAGTAATACATAGTTTTGTAGCCCTCGAAAAGGCGATTCGAATGAGATATGAACAAAGGTTATGATTATTGATGTCACCGACTTGATGTTCTTGGAAGCCAAGGTCGCCCTGTTGAGTGGGAGTGAAATCTCTCACCCGGTCACGTCATAAGGGACAAAGCTCCAAATAACTTTTCTATATGCAATCGGACATGGAGAATCCAAATATGAAGGAATTAAGTGTTAGAAGTGCGGAGAAAAATAACTATACAGCGTTTTTGACAGAAAGCCACTTTTGCCCATACTGAGTATTTCAAGGTTTTCTCCTTGAAGAAAGGGCCTAGAATTTTTTTCAAGGTGATATTCTTGTAGAGCTCGTCGAGCTCTATCGAATGATGTGTGTTTAAAGCAAATCTATCAACTGCTTGAAGTTTGAATTAGGCGCACCTTACTATGTCAAGGAAGAATATGAGAAAGCTCTTTCATCTCTCGAAAAGTGTCTATGCATACATCCACCTCAACATTCCACTCTTGCGATAACACATCACAATATGGCACTCAATCTCAAAGGGATGAACCGTTACACACAAGTATATGAGCATGCAAGGAAGGCTGTAGATATAGGCCATCACTCAAATCATCCTGATCTGCAAGAGTATCAAGACACGCTTGAAAGTCTGAAAGAATTTTTATGACAACGTTATCTTTTCTAGTTAAATGAGTTTAATTACCTATTTCGCTACACTCACTCACGCCTTAGCCAAGGAAAGGCACACCTTTCTTGCCTTTTTTTGGTCTCTGATGCATTTCTGATGCTGACATCTGATGCATTTCTAGACCAAAGTTTCCTTTTCCTTTGTGATATTCAATTAAGGAAAGACGAAAGGTAGAAGAATAGCTCTACCAGCAAGACAAACAGTGAAAGTTGCTCACTTTATTTTCTCATTTCTTCTAACACTTTATGTAGCATCCTGTACGAGGAGAAACTTGAAAATGACCGGATTAATAGGTCGAAACATCACTTATACGCTAGTGCTGAGAGTCCGAGATTTTAAATTGATAATCATGTTTTCAAATAAATGCAATGATTAAATTCATGTTCGTTTGATTCAACAGATCAAGACATGTCAGAATCTAATGGGATGTCAATCAACTTCTTACATGCTAGTGAACATTGAAAGGCGATGACAAAATGAGAAAATGATGGTATTTCCTAGAACAGATTAACACCGTCTACATATCGATCAAGATCGACAGAAGAACGAATTTGTCGCCGTTCGACAGTTCTACTTTTTGACAGCCAGTTTTCAACACTGTCGGATTTTTCACTTGAAATTCGACAGTGTCGATAGCCTGTCAAGTTTCGAGCGAAACAGACTAGAAATTCGACAGGCGTAGACAATTTAAACGTCGAAATACGCTGCCGAAAGGAGTTTCTGTCGAACTGCGAAATTACCCAGAAGAACTGATCGAAAACAAATTATTCAGGGTATTCGAATCATGATTTAAATTCATCAAGTTTCCTCTAACTACTCTACCAGCGAGATGTTTAAGATCATATCCAAAAATTCTTTAATATCATATTTTATTTGGTCGAACTTTTCGATTGCCATATCAATAAAGTGAAGGAAGAATTCATGTAGTCTGATAACATACTGTTTTATGAAAAGCAGTTTCTTAAGCATTTTTTTGGTGAATTCAAAAGTTTTGCTGAAGTAAAAAACAAACTGTAACTGATTTTTCTAGATAGTGTGAATGAAAGAGACATTCCAGATCTTTTTGATTCATAGCGAATTAGCTTCTTTCAATAAATGATCACTGCTATTCAACTGCAGCTGCATTGGATATGCAAGAGTACAAGAATTACAATAAAATGCCATCAGTCAATATATGGGTTTATCATGTTGGCAATATTTCTGCTAAATAAGTAACAGAAATATCGTACGCGCTGAACGTATACTGAATACGAAGCAAACACAAACGTTGTAGGATAGGAAGTCACTAAACCGTCAGTTGAAAAAATACAACACTGAACTGAATAATGATTCTAATACACCTCATAAAGTATTTGATATTCTTTCACAGTCTTTGAAGAACGGAGATTTTCATCGGTTTTTCTTCTGCGAAAAACACGCCTAATTTTGACATTTCAAAAATATTATTTCACTAAAGCTACCGTGAATTAGTTAGAATGAGGTTACTTGAAGCTCAAAATTTCAGATGCATTGCTCGAAAGCACTGCCAAAATACATAAGTTATTATTACACAAACTGTGAAATAGTCCATAATGCCAAAACTGATGTAGCACTATCTGACACTTACAAATAACTGATTTTTAGTCTTTAGTTGCCACCACGTGATCGGCTTTGTACTTAACATCGTCCTTCATCTAAATAAAATTAAGCAATTTTTTCTTTTTACTCTATTTATTTATCGTAGAAGTCACGCTATATATTCTCATGATGCATGCTGAATAATAACTTTGCGGCATGACTCAAATCCTGTTTAGAATGTAAGTTCGATAGGAGAATCGTCCAGCTTCTAAATGACATGTCTTGATGACAAAAACATTTTACTCTTACGATTCTATGTAAAAAAAGCATAACCAAAGAAAAATATCGGATCGGGTGTAAAACTTGACTGAACGTTGTTTTCTGTTTTCATTGCATATCACCGGAACAAAAAAAATAAAGTTGAGTTAGAGTTGCTGAAAAGTGATTTTTCGTATTCAGCACACTCGATAACCCAGAAGATTTTCTATTTTTGGCTCGAGGTACTTTCGAAAATTTAAGAAAAATTTTGAAATAAAATGGCGCAAAAAGTTTTTCATGGAAAAATAATATTAATTTGAAAATTTTTCCTAAACTTTCCAAAGTACCTCGGGCCAAAAAGAGAACATCTTATGGGTTATCGAGTGGGGTGAATACGAAAAAACACTTTGCAGCAACTCTAAATCAACTTTATTTTTTTTCCGGTGATATGTTTTGATTTATTCAGTTTAATATGAAGCGAATGTGATCGTAGGATCAGTTCGGTGTTGTTTATCTTTCTTCGCTTTTCGAGCTGAGCGACGAAAGAAAATGAAAATATAGTTTTGTACTGCCTTGTACCCACTTTTGTCATATAAGTGCAATCATTTCTTTTTCAAGCTACTTATAAACACGTCATTTTAGATCGTTTTTATTAGAAAAATGATCAACTTGGTTATAGTTTTCAATAATATAGCTCAGAGTTACTTTCATCAATTGATTCCTGTTGAACATGGTAAGCTAAAAAGACATAATATATATATGGGTGAGACGTTTAGCCATTCTACTATTAGGACGAAAAAAATGAAAAACATTCAGTGTTTAGATAAAAATATTCTGAAGCGGCCATTCGATAGGGCATCCTTTAATGTGCATAAAAGTAAAGTTTCCCAGCAGCCGATGGAATATTAGTGGAGAAAATCGATTTTTTCTCTTAGTCCTATCCAACGCACAGGGTTTTCAATTTTTCTAAACGTTTTGGAAATCATGCTTTTGGAATTTACTGACCTTTTTTCTAGGCTTAGTTTTTTTTTTATTTTGACCGAGAAGACAGATCTAAAACCCAGAACGGCAGATGACTTTGCAGGTTGTACTGATTGAGTTACCCATAACACAAATATGTGTCTAAAAAATATAGTGTTTGACGATAAGAGACAAAGTTTTCCTAAAAATTCACTACCTACTTAATGAGAAAATTTTGCAATCTTTATACAACGATTTGCCTTCCAAAGACGAAGCAAATGATGTATGATAAATGAAGATTCTTTCACGTTTTCATGGAGTTATTACTATTACAAGGTGACGCGACATATTTGCTAAACAAAAGGTGACGCAGCATTTTCGCAGTAAAATACAGTTTTCTCAGAAGTGATCCAAGATATCAAGTTTAAATTTTCACCACATGATTAAAAACACTACAGAATAAAAGGGTAAACGTTTGAAGTCAAACGATCAACAGTTTCAAGAGATATTGCAAAAATAAAATCGAAAAAGTGACGGGACATTTAGTGTGAAAATAATATGCAATTTCCTCCATCAAGAAAGCGGTTTAAAATTTTCTTCTTTTTATCAAAAGTTGTGCCTTCCACTCTTCTATTGATTCCTCAATTTAGATACAGTTTACATCGAATACTACCAGAGTTAGCCATGGCGGTTGGTAGTGGATCAAAAAAAGTCATCGTATCTGTAGCACTGTTGATTACGTAAATTCACTAAGAAAATAGAGATAAATCATTTATTCAGTTATAAACATTCAAGGCAGAATGGTTTTGCAATAAATTCTTGAGAGTAATTAGTCTCACAGCACGTTGCATCCGTTACAAAAGTCAATTTTTATGGCAACAGATGGCACAGGAAATAGGGACTACCGGCAATGCAATTATGATATCTCGCAAACGAATCACGATAAAAAGCTCGTTTATTTACTGAGCTTGGGCAAGAATTAGAACTTTAAAACTGACAAATTTTTAAGAGAGTCCGTGCAATACAAAACAAATTATTAATTTTTTGCGATTAGGACAAGGACAGTACAATGGCCATACGTTTCACCCATATCCAGTAGAAGTTGGTGACAAGAATTAGGTTTTGCTATATATAAATGAGTCAGAATTTCTCGAAACAAAGAGATCGTCGAATAATCTTTAATATTAATAGTCTAAGGGAACGGGTTAGACTGAAAACTTTCTTTTGTGCGTTTTCTTAAAATAATTTTTAAAAACCCATTGAAATTATTCAAAGTCCTCGTATGACTATTATATAAATTGGTTTTATGCGATTGATTTTGATGAGTTTTAAAGTTAAAAAGTAATGTATTGCGAAAAATTTTATAGTAAATACCAATTGTAATTGATTGTTACCATTATAAGCATTGGTTTTTTTCAATAATTAAATTTTTCAGATTCTGCATTATACTGTCACATTACAAAATATTCTATATGTTTCATCCGAAATTCTCTCCATAATTTGTACGACAAAAGAGGAAAATGTAAAATTGATCGCTTTCAGTGTAAAGGCAGTGAAATTCTTTGTACAAAATGAATATTTCTATGATTAACTATAGATTGTTAATTTTGGAGAAAGTGGTTTAGCAACCGCGACACACATTGATAGCTATTTGACGATAAGAATTCATAGGATCTTTTTTGATTGCAGTGAGAAGATATTAATTGGATTAGAATGAGAAAAAAAACAGATTTATTTTCCACTTTAATATTTGTAGAGAATTATCAACGAATATTATGAATCCGTTCGCTTAGCAGTCATAGGAAGGAACAAACGAGTTATTCTCACTATCTCGATAACCGTTTAGTGCAGGAAACATTTATAAAAGAATCAATGTTCTCTCTATTGGAGTAAGCATTTAATGTATTGTTAGATAATATATCGAAATTAGCAGTTGAAATAAAGGAATTATTAACTCTTTTCTGAATATTATAAATTATATTCGATTATCTAAAACAGAAAAATATTAAGTATTGAGGCTTATTCGTTGGTAACACCTCGTTCGGTGTTTGGATTATTTATAATTTATACAATAATTTATCTAAAACATATTTAGTCAGTTTTTTTACGGAGCACCATTTATTGAATGACTTTTATATAAACAGTAAAATATACTTCAAAATTCGAACTTTACCAGATCATAAAAAGAGTCATGCACTTGTATAAAGAAGAATTATTTAGTTCCACAAGGATTTTTCTCATCAGATTGCTTGCAATAAAGTCGTTTTCAAATGTTGTATTGATCACCTTACAATTATGGAAAAGTTCGTGTGCGATAAATTAGTTTTCTTTATTATACAGATGAGTACATTCATATATAAATATATTAATTTTCAATTGATTTTTTGTTTAAGATGAAAAATTTTATGGCATAAATCAAGATTAAAATCTTCTATGCTAGAAGTTATTTTTTGTACATCAGTTGACTGATGATGTCTTTAGAATAAAGGCGAAACGTCTCAATTTGAAATGGTCATTTCAATATGTAAAAAGGTGATTTTAATCTTGATTTATGCCATATTAATTTCAATCCAAGAGAAAATATCCATGTTTTATAAATCTCGACTTGCATTGTCGACATCTTATGCCAATAAAAGCTTTTAAGTGTCTCTTTTTCTACTGAACACAAAACTGAAAAACCATTCACCGAATGAATAAGGACAATCAGTCTTTATTCTTAATTGATCAAGTATACCGGTTCATACCTTTTAGCAAACCGGATTTCTCGGCTTTTACACCTGTGCATTACTAAATGAGATTGCAACATAATCTACATTTTGAAAATTTTAAGAAATATAGTAATTATTGCAGTTTTATATAAGGAACTAAATAAGTTTTGTTTTCTAGCGCTGAATAATTTGATTTCAAAAATTTAGATAATTTTCTTCTTTGGATGAAGAAACAGCCAATGTCATAACACTCAAAAAGAAATATGTTATTTTCTATATCGTGTCTCAAAAAATATGAGACATTTCTGTTTCGACTTATCTTCGATTATTAATGTGTCTCATCGAGATCATAAATTGCTTTAAATTATACTATTAACTGACGTCTTATTAGAACAGTAGCCACAGTATTTCGAAAATATGTCAGCTAGTTTCTGTTGCGCAGTTTTAAACTTTTTTTTCTAAAGATTTGCCACATAATCTGCACAAAACAAAGTGTTAATAAATAATTTCAGATCTATATCTGTTGATTAGCACATGCTATTTAGTGCCGAATTATGCAGCAAATCTTTAGAAAAAAAGACCAAGTCTGTGCAACAAAATTGGCTGTTATGTCGTCGAAATACTAAGATCACCGTCACTCTGTCACGTCTAACTATACGAGAAATTTTTGATGGTCTTATAGCATACGCGGGTGGTATTTTAGGTGTTGGGTGAGAGTCGACATATTGCTTGTTACTGTTATATAACAACAATATTGTGGCATTTCGGTGTTAATCATGCATGAACTGATTTACGTCGATCGTTGGAACATTATTTTAACAAAATTGACCGGAGTTTAAAATATGAAGATTTTGATTCTAGTGGTGATGAATATGAGCTGTCAAATATTCATTGGTTAATAGTGATGCTTATTCTTATGAATGTGATATGGCTGAGAAAGGACTGTAAATAGTACTAAATACACAGCATTTTCTATGAGCTTCTCGTTATGTTTTACATGCTTTTGTTTGTGCTGCTTCTATATATATAGATAGTCAAACACTATCTCCGCTTCTTCAGATCTCATAAAAATATTGTGATCTGTTTGTATTAATTAATCAACAGAATTCTGAAACAGAATTAGCGGCGATTAATGTTTTATCTCGGTTTATTCAATCATTGATTACACGGTTTAAGACTATTCCTCCATTGTGAATGCATTCCTACACCATAAATGAAAAATCTATTCAGTTTATATTTAAGAACAGATTACCGGTAATACCCTTTCTTTTAAAATGCAATACTTAGTAAATGATCGATACTAACTAGTTCGGTCAAGCTGTTACACATAAATTGTCAATAGCGAATGTTGATGAAGCATTGGTGGGAAAATGAAGTGTTCCTCCATAAGGACTAAATGTCATTTTGTCAATTTCCATCCAATTTAATGCTATAATAGCTGCTGTTTCAACCTGCAATGTTACAGTTGTGTTGTACTTCACTACATTTGATCGAAAACCAAGTAGATTTAGCAGTAAATTATCATAAAAGACGGCAGCAGTGACAAATGAAATGACATCAAACGTATTATTACTAATAGCTGCAACAGTCATCGATGAATTAACACCATTGAATGCGACGCAACAACCGCTAGTGCGAGCAGACTGATAACCACTTTGATTGTAAAGTGATGCGTTAACGTAATAAACATTAGACCAAAATAATGAACCGTACCAGTTAGGAACAGAAGAAATGCTAGAACCATTTCCGATATTATCAAATGTCAGACAAGCTAGACAGAAGCACTAGTCACGTTCAAAATTAAAATGCACGAGGAAAACTTACTTGAACAGTTCGAGAAACGACTAAATTGCCATACTTGGTTAGAGCTAGTACCATTTTGATACATTATCAATTGTGCTCCGTCCGCTACACTGGCACCAGCAACATTCGCCATTAGAGCACTATGTTTGTTAACTATTGTAAAATAACCACTGATACTTGGTACAGATGCCAGCTGCCATTTTTGTAAATCATTGTTTGATGACAAATTATTTATTACAAGACGTACATGATCTGAAGAGAGCATCGAGGTACCATTAACCGTTAAGGCTTTGCCACTTAACTGATGGATAATATTAAAATAACCATCATCGTTCGATACTAGTTGCCATTTTTGACTATCCGAACCGTTCTTTGTATAGATGACTATGACTGTTTGATCAGTTAGTGACCCGTTAAAAACATCGAGTACTTTTCCGCTTTGTAGACCCACAATTCCATACAGACTAGTATCACAGGATGATGCTGATATCGTGTCCGTTGTTGCTGTTGTTGTTGACATTTGTCTAGTTGTTATAGTCGTTGTCTCAGCGGTAAAAGAAAGAAGTACGCATACTATTCTCATAATTCAAAAGAAGTTGAAGTTACTCTTAGGAGAAAATTCAACGTATGCAACTGATACTGCATACACCTGTTCGTTTCTGGCATAATTTCGAAAGGTATTTTAGATTAACTGACATTCAGCCGTGCCTGAAAAAGACTTGGGAACTGAAACATCTCAAATAGCCATTTGTCGATCTAGTATGAGTGGGAAAAGTTTCTCCATTATCCCATGTATTCTTCTCAAACGTCAATCGATGTTTTTAAATAATTAGTAATGTTTCTGTGGATTGAAGAAGGTGATAGGGTAAGATAGGTTTAAAATTCATCCCACAATTTTTCAAAAACATCTATATGGGGATGATCAGTATCAAACACCGACCAAATCGGACTTTTCGGAAAATATTTTCGACTATGATGCTCCACAGAAAATATGAGAATGACGCTTGATCGAGTTTGCATCTATCCAGTATGAATATCTTGGACTCCTCTTGTAAAAGGTTCATAGACAATTCTGCAAATTTATTTAGGTTTTCTGTGAAAAGATGAAGTCGACTTTTTTACTTCATGAGAACCGCAATTAAATGAGCTTTGAAAGCTTCGCTTTTTTTATTTTGATTTGTTATGGAGAAACTTCATTTTTTCTAAATTAGGAGCGGAAAAATTGGAATTCTGTATAATCGCACTTACAAACACCCTATTTGGTTCAGTAATATACATTTCTTTTAGAGTGTAGCGTCCTTATTTTTTCATTCAGTGTGAAAATACAATGAGGAGATTGATGCTCTTAAAATGCACGCAAAATTTACAGTCTGCATTAAAATTAACTTAAATTAGCTTTTCTGTGTTTAATCGGAATTCGACTAACAACGGAAAATTGGATTTTTCCGGATAATTGAAAAACGCATAGTTAGACAAATAAGAGTAATTATGTGATGTAAAGATGCAAGATGTTGTTTCTGTCGGCATTTTACACAAAAAATAGTAGCTGAGAATTTCTGCTCTTTATATTATGATCAGTTATTTACATACATGTTGCAATGAGAAATGTTAGATCTTAAAAGCAACATAACTTTTATGAAGTGAAACTTCTGAAGCCATTTTCCTAACTGCCCCACTTATAAGACAGTTTTTGCTCTTTACTTCATTACTTTCTCTCGTACAGTTCAAAAAAGAGATTGACTTTCTCGCATAAACTATTGTCATTTTTATGCAAATATATACTTACTTGTTAATGGCATCTCTTGCGGTAATTGAATAAACCAAAATGTCGAATTTATATTTGATTGTATCGAATAGACTGCTGAATAATTTCGAAATAATAAACACGTTCTATTATTATTAGCAAAACAGTTTAAACCAAGATATGAGTTATTATAAAATGCATAGCACAGGCATTGTTGACATGTTGAAATATTGTCCAATAGTTGAGTATAATTATTGTCACCATTCAATATTAAAATGATGTCATGTATGTAGTTTACGCGAAAACAGCCAACAACACAAAGAAAAAAGGCTACAGACAGTACGAGGCGTCTCATCTTTATCGATTCAAAAAGAAATCATCTAATAAATTTGTTTAATAAAAGTATAAAAATATTTAATTTAAAACTATATCTTTTTTCCATTCTGTGTTGTTCTTATATTCACTTTATATGTGATTCTTTTGATGATTTTCTCCGAAGAATTTATATACAGACCAACACGGGCGGCGGAGAATCTTGAAACTAGGTGAGACTCATAGCATTTTCTTCTTCTTTTCCATCGAACTTTTATCAAAGAGTCTAGCAGAATAAGGTGTGCATAGTGCAAACTTGCAACGAAATGTTTTTCCAATTTATTATACATTACTGCATAGAGTTCATCGAGTTGATTGAGCAAGTGAGTACTTATAAATTTAGAAATTACTGTAAGATACATTATTTTCTGGTGTGTATATTCGGTATGACGGATTACAATTCACTGCCGAATAAAGTAGTATTTTATTTTAATAGTTCAGGAATTTTCCAATTGACAATTAGGTATCGCCAGTCTCTTATTTGTCCCTTAATGGGACAAATAACTTATAAATTTTTCAAAAAGCTTTTTTCATGTCGAAAAATCGAAAATACTTGAAGAATATAAAAACTCAAAAAGCCTTCATGTATAAAAAACATTTAATATCTCTAGATTTTAGTGTGTTTCGATGTGCATTTCGAGACTTTTAGTTAATTTTCAGTTATGAGTGAAAATCTCCATAAGTTTTCGACGTGAAAGTTAGAAAAATATTAAAGTAGCCAGATAGGATAGAAATATACATTAGTCGACTCAGTCTTTCATCCTGATTCCAAAAATGATAGTTTTATTGCATAAAAGCTGAGCTCTAATGGATAAGATTGAGAACTATGAGCAGAATACCAAATTTTTCGCCTATGATGTAGAAAAATGAATTTTCTCAGAAAAAAAACAAAATTAAAAAAAGCTAGTCATACTTTTAAAGCTGGTCTTCCAGAGAATCTAATGACGTGGAAATGACGACTTCAATTCTTAACACAAAAATCTAGATAAACTAAGATTTCTCTTGGGAGTTGCTCCATACTCAAACAGAAATGTTGTAGAAAATCGTCATGAAGTCTTACAGCTCGGTTGTATGTAACTAGGCATGCACTGGTTATTTTGCTTATATGATCAGAAGAAGAAACATACGGCATACATCATCCATTAAGGGACAAATAAGAGACTGGCGATACCTAATTGTCAGTTGGAAAATTCCTGAACTATTAAAATAAAATACTACTTTATTCGGCAGTGAATTGTAATCCGTCATACCGAATATACACACCAAAAAATAATGTATCTTACAGTAAGACACACTAGTCGGATCGGGCAAAGATGTTTCAACACGTCTTTGTAGAAGACTGTGTCTATAAAGCGTAGACATTTGAATGTGTCTGCCAGTAAGACTCAAAACAAAAGGAGAGAGATATCACAGCTCCGTATGGACTAGGCTGAGTCCATAGTCCAGCTCAGTCCATTTAGTCTGGACTGAAAACTGTTGCAGTTCATGGGCTCGGACTAGTCTTGGTTCAAACGTTCAAGACCATGGACTGTGCTGGACGTGGAAAAAATGTTTGGATTCACTTGAATCGAGGAAAAACAGGTTATTTTCGTATTGCGGACTGACGTGAGCTAAACTGCCTTTTTAGAGACCATGGACTGAAAAAGCTGTTTTTCATCCACTCGGACGGGGCTGGACCAGAGTTTCCAGTCCATGGACTAGACTGCACTAAGAATTTTGAGTCCATACGGAGCTCTGATGGATATAACGGTTCAGAGGAGATTTGAACTTGCGATCTTACGCTTGAGAAGCCGTATACAGTCGTCATTGCGCTACAGAACCTACATAAGATAGTCCATATTATCTGTTCTCATTCTTATTTTGAACTATTTCGATTCTTTAGATCGTAGTTTCGTAAAGTTACAGTAAAGATAGGTTCATAGTAGGGCTCAGAACTTCGTCTAACGTACAAGAACTAAGTACTATTGTGTGTATCACCTATACTTCCATGATAGCAACCAGACTTTTAGTCGATCAGATTGTGATTTGAAAATATGCTCTACACACAGCACGACTTGTTGTTGATTTTCGTGCTCTTCCTCGAAAGTTTTCTGAAAACATATACGTTTTACTTCAGCAGACCATAATCCAGTATGGTTCAACCCTCAACATCTTCCTATCCGATGGAGTTTATTAAACGCAGATTCACCAGCTAATATGTGAGGCTATATTAACGGGAGAAAAATATTTCCAATTTTCAGACTGTTTTACTTTAAAGCGTCGTGACCTTTTTGTTGTAGACAGACGTCAGACACATTAAGATACTTTGTTTTCTAGGACACATTGGCGGCACTTATACATTATACGGCTGACACATTACTGTTTAGAGTGATCGAACAGAAACGCGTTGAACGACATATCGACCGCCGAAGCTTACTATCACTAGTGGAGTTCCGCCGCGGTTTTCCTCTTAATGAAAATGAATTTGAGTATAATAATAATTACATATTAATTAATTAGTATAATTTGAGTATACCGATAATGATTTGTTGTGAAATAAAACAGTTTTACATCGGTATCGATCTATGATTGATGAAAAGAAAGATGGTGATCAAATAAAAACGTACATAATCGATTTTGGTACAGTTCCTGCATGTTTCAAGCTCATCAACAACGTTCAATTTCAATGGAAAATCCGATGTCACTCGATCTTCGAGTTAAATTACGCCGAGAAAACGGTGCAATTGGTATATTTGAAATTGATAATAAAAGTGCGATTTTTCTCCTATTTGCTTATGAATCAAAAACATTAACAGTCGATTGGACTATTCAAGATGTTATTCAAGATTCCAAATGTATTTATGAAATCTGTTTTAGTAAGATTTAAAATATCGAATTATTTGTTTGGGGAAAATGCGAAAAATATCAATATAAAACAGAAGATTCTGCCAATTGATCTTCCATCGTCATGGAAACAATCAGAAATTCGAAAATGATTAATAAATTTACTCGAAGATAATACAAATTTTTATCGACAACGAGTAGCAACTATTTTTGCTCCGATTATTACTCAACTCGACAGTTTGATGAATTCCGATCCGAAAAATTCCGACATTCCAGACAATGTAACGTCCGAATCGATTCTATCGGCAATCGAATCTGATGAGCATCAAATCAACATAATCAACGAAAGTATCAAACAAACACTTGATTTCTTTTCAAAAAAAGTACGGATATTTTTGATTGATCATAAGAGCAGAATCTAGTATTTTTAACATTTTGCAAGTTTTTAGAAACGAGAAAAATTATATTCATCATGATTGCACAGGCTCACGTACCTGCACACATTTTAAAAACTTTTATTCGTTTGAGTTACGTTACCCAATTATACATTTTCAAAGAAAGATGAAACAAATGTTTTATGAAACAATGTTTTTTAGCTACATAATTTTTCTTCGAACGACACTTGAAAGTATGTAATAAAGATAAGAACAAACATTATAACAAAATATTTGTGTTGAAACTTCAGAACGTGCTTCAACGAAAACAAGGTGATTCTTTTAATTCCTTTCTAAGCTTTTTTTGCACGAATTTTAGGAAGTAAGAGATTACAGGTTTGTCTTACGAGTATACCTGACAAACTCCTAATCTTTTGGCGCTTGTTTCTCGGCTCTCATACCTAACTACATAGGAGTCATTGTACATGAGCCACGACAAGCCAAGCTCAGTGACTATTTTAGATTTTTTCGAAGTAGCCTCATCTTGTAGAGCATGGTCGTAAACGTATAAATCCAAATCTGTAGGCTTCCCGAACTTTTCGTTCTGTAGATATGAAATTTTTTCGACTGGAGTAAAGTTCGAGAAGTTATTCGCCCGAAAAACGTAAATTTCGTTTTTCTCGTGAACGAGAAGAGATGTAGAGATTACTTTTTCAGGATAGATAGTACTTGATGTCTACTATACTCGTTATATTGAACTTACGTTGAAGTCGGACTACTTGCAGTAGATAGTACTCTCAGTGTACTATCTGGAATCACCGTCAAATGTTTGAGATAAGCAAATTTGTTACAGAAAGTTTTGTGATCAAAGCCGAAGTAAGCGATCGGCATAAGCCTTCGCTTTTCTATCTTAATAAAAACCTATATATTTTTCAAAAGAATTCCATTGGATAGCCAGTGAAATTCTCTACAAACTGAGCTGGTCAGAAAATCTAGACAGGTAGAGCCAGTCAATAAAGATATGCAAAAGAAGCGTTTAGTCCTACATATGCAGCACAGTGTGTCATAACCATAAGAACTCCTTTGTTTTTGATTTTTCATCGATCATTCAATGACTGGCTCCACCTGTCTGGATTTCTGCTCGTTTTCCAGTTTTCTTGTTTCATTCTCCATTGCAAACGAACGGTAATTAAAAATGAAACAAGAAAACTGAAAAACGAGCGGAGCAAACATTTGTGACAGAGAAAGAAATCAAAGAATTTGCATGACAACACCAGTTACACGAGCAGAAGGTGTAGAGAAAAGCACAAAAAAGTAATTTTAATGTTTCTTACTCAAATTCACTTCGAAGAAAGCTACTCTAAGTAAGTCATAGAAACGACTGATGAGCACAACAACGAGTCTACAAAAATAATCTAAAACTCAAACATTTTTCTGAAAAAGTTCATAGGATATCTATTGAGTTGTTATTTTTTATTCTCGTTCAAGAATACAATGAATCCATCGTGCTTCATATTTTAATTACGCTGAAAGCTTTTAGTATTCGAGGGAACAGTATAAAAAAATGAGTGGCAACTTTTCTTTGAACAAATCTGAATACTGTTTTGAATAGTCCGAAGATTTTTCTATCAGATGAGGTGCATATCACCGTCTCATGAGAAAAGGTGATAATAGAGTTTCTGGAAAACCTGAAGGCTAGAAAACCAAGTCCGGCTGTCGATAACGCTTTTTCACCCAATTGCAGTCGATTTACAAATGGATACAAGCGACGTGAAAATTACCAATTTCACGCCGATTTATATCAATTTTCGGATGTTTTAGGCATAGATCTTGGGAAAACTTGATTTTCTCCAGATCAAAATGACTTATAAGGTTTTAAAGAGTTTCGTCACCCCAGTTTTTCATGCCAAATCGAATGATGTGACTTTTAACAAAATCTATTTTGCGCGATTGACAGGCCTGCTTAAGGGTACTCGATGCACTCATGGAACGTCTCTTAAATCCATTTCGCATTGCACCCACTGAAACAATGCCAGACATCGTATATTTTTTCGTATGTGTAAGGGTGGTTGGGTTGGTTCTTCCTAGGAAAAAATATTCATGCCCGCACTCATTCACGCTCACTCGCACCCACAAATAGTTTGAGTAATTCCATGTGATTCTAAGTGATACAATCTGCTTCCGATGGCCTGAAATCAGCTGTTTTCCTCTTGATTCTAGCTCATATTTCTTGTTAACAATATATATCCGTGTAAACTTGTTTTATTCTGGTTCATTCCTCATCAATTGGTTGTGTCAACAATATGACAACCACTGACCCCAATGCCGACGTACAAAACAAACAGACTGATTGCACCTGCCATTCCCGCAGCCCCAGCTCCCCAGTAACCCCGCCTGTTGCAAGATCGAACTTGATCATTCAAATGCAAATGATTACCAATTGGATAATGAGTCAAGTCAACAACGGAAGTTTATCATCTAAGGGGTGGATTGCATTCATTCTAGTCTTAGCTATACTGGTTGCCTGTTATGTTAAAAATCGACCTCCTCCTGCGTGTGATATGAAAATAGCTGAAAATCGAGATTTCGACAGTTTTTATGGTATTACTGGTTTGAAAAATCATTTTACAACCCCAACGGCGGATGAATGCAATCCAAATATTATATTTCGACCAGCCCTACCTCAAACGATATTGAAAACAGATAATTCAGCAAGTTCATTTATGACATTAGCCAAGTACGGAACTGGTAAAACCTTATTAAGATGTGAATATTTCAAATCTTTACCTTCGAATAATTATCTGAAAATCTCCATATTAAACAGACAAATCAATGAATACCTCGATCGATATGTTTCCGAAAAGAATCTGACTCGAAAGGACTGTCAAAATGGGAACTGTCTAATCGAGTGGGCAGAAAATGAATTTGCACAATTAATTCTCTCTAGCTTAGTCACAGAATTGATCGATACACATCATAATAAACGATTAAGCTTTCCCGATTTATCCTTAAAAAATTCATCTGATCACTATCATCTGTTATTATTACAATGGTGTAGGTACGAGTAAACTGGAACATTTTGTCAATTCTTTCCTTGGTAAACGACCAGACTCGCTGTATCTAGCAAGTCAAGCTCAAGTACAAGTTCAAGAACGAAATATCTTTCATGAAAAGCTATTGCTAACGCATTTGAAAAATGACTTTGAAAGATTTTCTATTCTGAAGAAAGATGATGAACGATTGCATTTATTATTGGCTATTCTTGAAGGTGAAAAATTTGAACATGATGCCGGTAGAAAATATCTCTATGGAAATATTTTTCGAGATCTTACGCGCTTTTCCGTGTTTGTTAAGAATTCTTTGAACAAAACACCCGTGTTTGTTATCGATGGCATCGATGAAAATAGATATTTTTTCCAGGGAAATGAAGTGAATAAGGTCTTCCTGGAATTATTTTGTCGTTCATCCGTATCACAAGATATTCTTTCTATGGTCATGGCAAATAATTTTTATCTTTCAGTTTTCTATCCGAAAATAGATGGCATTAATATAGAAGATGCTATTATTCGAAAAGATAAATTTCCAACGCATACGATCACTTGGAATACCAAATCTCTCATAAATTATGCTGATTATGTTCTTCAACAAATGAATAAGAATGCCATCAAAACACGTTGTAAACCATTTACCGATTTTAAAACATTGGTCAATTTTTCAAATAAGAAAATCGCTCAAATTATTGAAAAAATCCCAACGCCGAGAGCACTTCATTACTTTATGATCGCATTGATTTCAGAAATGAACAACGATGCCAATTCGGTTAAAGAACCATTTAAAGCGACTTTTGAAAATGTTCATGCTGCTTATGAAGAATCTTACCAATCTTACGAAAAGCGTCACAAACTTAAAGAATGAAGAATCAGTGTAAAGAGTACTGAGCGTTTTTTTCAAGTATTCATGTAGTTTCTTTGTCCACGTACCATCCGATTGTTTCAAAAAAGAATTTATTATGCCTGTGTGACAATTAAATTTTTATCGAGCTATTTTGGGATGTGGGGTAGTGGGCGATACTGAAAGAACCGACTTACCCGCATCTCCGGTCAAGATCACTAATGAATCTTTGATTTCGTCCAGTAACAAGGAATCTCTCGTACCGACACATTCTTCACTAGGGTCACGGTTGCCACAAGGCTTCGTCGATTATATCTGAATAAAAAGATCGATCAGTGTATATCGACCGGTTAGAATTCATAGATATCTTCCGAACGCAGAGGACTATTCGCTAGTAGATAACCGAGTTAGCTTGAGTCCGTACTCTCTATCTTTTGAGAATACACGACAAAGAGAAACTTGCAAACGTTGATCGCTGTTCCGTGCTTGTTGTCCGATGAGATTGTCAGAATATATTGCTCGAGGGAATCGACTTTTATTCCTGCGAGATTGATATGCGTCCTTGAAGCTGTGCCTTGCAGAGCATCGAAGATGGCGGAAAGTTTCTTCGAAAGGATTCAGAGAAATGTGTTACTAAAACAACTGCATATTTTTTCAATATTCACAGAAATGGTTGTGTATAGTATATGAAAATGTCACAAGGAGGGAAAAGAATGTTTACAAACACTCAAACAAAATGAGGCTGAGATAAAAGCCCTTCGTCGAATATTATGCCAACTCTCGAACGCTTCCACAGATCTATCTGAGATTTGTTATATATAATGAGGGAAACTACAATATGAGACAGTAAATTTTACAGCAGTGATTTCGATTTGGATGTGTTCTAATTTGTTTATTTTCAAATTATCAGACATTGTCGTCTTTATACACGTATGTACAAACATGTGCATGAACACCAAGAATATATAAATAAAGTATTGTACAAACAAAAGCCGTTTTTTCGATTTCTCTGTTCTGAGGAAAAACTGTTTTTCCACTCCTTTTCTTAGGAAGTTATCAAACATACACAGGTGGCCAAAAGTATCTTCCCTTGGATCTCAGCCAGTAGACGAGATGTAGATCTAAAAACTTATATGTTTATAGTTCTCGATGAGACACAACTCACATCCCGATCGCATTAGGCATAAGAGAGTTGTAAAGGACGCAGTCTGCTTCCATTATGGACTTCATAATCTAGAAATGAAAAGACTTTATGAGTTGGAATTTATCTCATTCAGTAGCCCTATACTCTGACTATCTACGATAAAAGTTGCATTAAAGTTCACTGAGCCATTGTGAAGCTAGACCCATTTTACTATAAGGATCCATGCATAGTAAAACCGTCCAATCTCATTGCACTCATAATTTAATGAAAGTTGGACAGATCGACTTCAAACTTATAGCAAATGTTCCTCCATAGGCCTCCCGAGTTCCCTACAATTTTCAGGCATATATCGCTTACTAGAGCAAATTGGTGCTATGGTGAATATGGAGAAATTATCACAGGTCTAGACACTCGAATATTTAAGCTATTGATCTCATATTTTGAACATAGAACTAGCATACATAGGAGCACATTTCTATCAAAAAAAATCTTACAAAATTCAGTGGTATCATGGAAAACAAGAAATATACTTTAGTGGTCAGTTTTTAGATCATTATGACAAAGTTTGATAGTTTTTCAAAAGTGTCAAAAAAGCGGTAACCTGCACGATAAATTTTCGAAACACACATCTTTTCTGACTCAGAATTTTGTGCTGATCACGAATATGGGATCTAAAGTTAGAAAAAGTAAACATTCCGTGGAGTCGGATGCCAAAAACTGAAGATTGATCAAGGTCAGTCCAATTGATAGTTTGCAGGTTTTCACCAAGAAAGAGTCATTCAAAAACTTGAAGCTAAACAGTTATTGGTGAAAATAGTTGTTCTATCCAAATGTGTAAACAAAAATGCAGTGTGAGCGTATTTTGAGCAAAAATATTAAGAAAAAGAGGAAAAATAGTCAAAAATCGGCCACAATCCTTCACTGTGTCCCC